GTGGGGTAGCAGCATTGGTGCCTCAGAGGCAATTGAGGGTGGAGCCCTGGATGGAGTGGAGCCCTGGGTCCTGAAGGCAGCACTGGATCCCATTCCATTTACTTGTTCATATTACTTTCAAGGCCATGTAGGCATGTGGATGAGAGGAAGAGGTCATTGGAGGAGTGTGTGAATTTAGTCTGATATCAGGAACACCTCATATTTCAAAGAGACTATCTGTCCCAAGAATCTTGTTGTTTCCTGGGATGCATGAGCTAATACATGGCTAAAACACCTTTAGTTGAGTGGACATGGTAAGACTGCCACTGACTAATGTGGACAAACCAATTACTTCCTTATTTGGAGTTGGCTTGATTTATCCACATTGTCTTCTTCTTTGAACAAATGTTTTGATATTATTTACTAAGAGTAGTGTCCCACATGAAAATTTAGGGCAGGTGTCCTCAAACTACGACCTGTGGGCCACATGCAGCCTGCCTAGGACATTTATCTGGCCCGCTGGGTATTTTTGCTGCGTCTGCCTGTCCTGCTTAGCAGCCGACTCGTCCCGGGGCCCACAGTCCGGCACTCCAACGGTCTGAGGGACAGTGAACTGGCCCCCTGTTTAAAAAGTTTGAGGACCCCTGATTTAGGGTGTCCCAAACTCAGTACGTACACAGAACAACTATATTCGCAAACCTGCAGTTTTAGTTATCTAAGAAAAGCAATATTTCTTCCAGAAACATCTCTGGAAGTTCTCCTGTTAGAGTGTCCATATAATTTATTATCTAAAATAGAAATTTCTTGAAAGTCAAAAAAGGTAATATTCATTATGCCATAAAAATAAGCGTAAACCAGAGCTGTTCAAGCAAACTGAGGCATGGGATAACCCTGCTCAATGTGCAGTATCTGCCAGTGACTTGATTACAAAATCTGTCATTGGCCACTAGAGGCTCTTCTGGGTCTGTCCCACATCCACGCTCACTGTTGAAGCTCCAGTCAGATTGGAGAGGCCTCATCATAGTTCGTTCCTTCCAGAATTTGAACCCACCTGCCCCTTCTACTTTTCACTCTTGCTGCTAAGCTGAAGTCCACCACAAAGGACCGGACTGTCTTTAACTATCAGAGATAATGTAGGTGGCTGTCAGATTTAGCTGTCTGATGTTTGGGACCTGGGGGGTTACATCTGTTCTTGGACCCCTTCATTTCTTCTGCTCGTGCTCCCCTCTTTCACAGTCTCCTCCAGGTAATTCAGGAGAAAGAATTTTCTTCTTTTCTGTAAGCAAATTAGGTCATGTCTTCAGGCTAGCACTTTGCATTTTCTGTGGCGGGGTGGGGGTTGGGCGAACCAAGTCTTAAGTCACTGCAGGACATCATCACAGAAGATCAAACCACTTTCCAAGTGAGCAAAGACCTGTCACTGTAGCAGTGGTAAATTTTACACTTGGCATTTGGGTGAGGAAAAAAGAAAGTTTGGGGCATTTCAAGTAATAAAAGAAGCAAGCTTTTGAAATGCAAAGATATAAATCCCTTTCAGTGAAGCAAATTATACCACAGTGTATAGGAGAAAAAGGAGGGAGAGGAGTCGAGAGTAGTGGGATGGTAAAAGGAGTTGTTTAATGGATAAAGATCCAGAAAGGTGACTGTCAGATCCCTTAGATAAAGCTACCCATCTACTCATCAAAGATGAGAGGAATGCCAGCTGGCTTTAGTCTTTTGACAAAGATGCACCAGTGTGGTGGAAAGAGGAGGTAAGGGGTTGATAACAGCTCATTCTCATTTACCATGCAGCTTAAACTGTTCTATTACTGACTTTATAAGAAGGCCTCGCAGGAGACCTGGGACATGTGGTTTGACAGGATCCACAGTGGCAAGGAAGGTGGAGAGGAACACAGAGGAAAATGGGCTGATGTATTATTTACAGTGGAAAACTTGATCAGAGCCAACGGCAGGGGTTGGCCCCAAAACGTGTGTCTGTATGACTGTGGAATAAAGACAGACAGATCTTTGAATTCTCACGGCTGCTCTTTTTGCTGCCAGGGAACCCTGCCAAGGCTGGGTGAGTATGTGTGTGTCTCATCTCCTCACTGTGCTGCCATCTGCCCTGCCACCACTTACCTTTCCCCACAGCACAGAAAGGGTAAAGACCTCAACAGGAAGCTGTCAGGGCCTGTGGGGGTGAAATTTCATTAGGTTGGCATGGAGGGCATTTTGCTGGTTATGACAGGTCCAATAAGCATGCAGATGGCAAGACACACACAGCCATGCATGCACACACACCCCCTCTCTGAAGTCATGCAGCGGGCAGAGAGGAGAGACTCGGGGAATCTGATCTGAAAGGAACAAAGGCCTCTGCAGTGGCCTGAGTTAGAATGACGGGGAGACAGCTACAGGAAACGAGAAGCGAAGTGTGAGAACCCACAGCAAAAGCCACCGCAGAGCATATGCATCGGACTTCACAGCTTCCTTCTGCATCCAGCTTGCGCTTGTTCCATATGCCGCCTTACACAGCTTTCCGGGCCATAATGGGTTTCGTTCCGTAGTTTTTATACTGGCATGAATGACTCACATCTGCTTCAGTACCTAATTTGCTCTCTAATGTCTTCGGCTGTGAGAACAGCTTACACAGAACTCCCCAATGACAGGAGTGGCAAGAGGGTCTTGGTCCAGAACCAGGCAGGTTGGAACGCTAAATGTCTGTGCCGGGAGGGTCTTTGAGAGAACATGACATTATAAATGGGGAACCTGAGACCTGAGGCACTTGCTCAAAAATAGCAAGACTAGGGAAGTAGATGCATTTTAGGGCACCAGGAGAGTCCTGATTCAGATTATACTTCTTTTTCTTATTTCCTGCTATGTTAAATCTTTTGCTAGGAGCTTTTCCTCCCCATATTGGCTGTGATAAGAAAAAAGTAACTTGGATTAACTGCCAATGATAGCTAATCCTCCAGTGTGATCAACTGTGCTCTGTGTTATTTAAGCTGATTATTAAAGAGTTTTAAATAGGCTCCTGAGCGTGGGGGGCCCCTAGATAGACGAGGTCCTGGAAGAGACCTACAGGTCTGGGCCCTGTGTGAATACTCACCTTGCTTACAGATGTTTGTGGTCCACCTGAAATCGACTTTAGTCCTAATGACTTTTACAGGCTTCACAACTCAGACTAATAGGCCCTTTGGCCGGCTCCGGTAATGATACTTAGCAAAACTGGATTCTCTTGACAGAGTCCATAGGTTCAGGAAATCTTCCCCACTTGACTGGAGGACATAATAATGATTCAAGAAGCAAGCACCCTCCAAGGAAATCCCCAGTCTCTCAGGCCCTTCATAGCGTGGCCCTCACTGCAGGACCTCATTTTCCCCAGATGCTGAGTAGTCAGAATGAAGCACCTCAGCACCCCAGCAGTGTGGTGAGCAGTGTGGTGCTGCACCATCTCGAAAGCTTGGCCGTGGTGTTGTGTAACTGTCTGCCATCTGTTACTCAGAGGCAGCATCACAAAGCGCTGAGCAATGGACTCCAGCGCTGCAGCTCCTGCCTGGGGTTGACAGCAGCTCAGTGGCTTGCCTGGGGGTCCCCTGCAGAGTCTGCAGCAGAACACTTTGCAGGCCCAAATCTGCAGGTCTAGGAAGCTTGGGATGCTGCAGAGGTGAGTTCTCTTTCTGCCCTCACCTTGTCTGTGCCCGTGCTGCAGCTATTTACCTGGCCTTTCCCCAGCCAAAGTGGTAGCTGGGGAGCCTACTCCAGCCCTTCAGAGGGTTTCAATAAAGGCAAATCCTGGCTTGTCCCTATGGTTCTGTGTGATGGTCTAAGACTCTAAGAGCTCAGATAAACCTTGAAATGGGCTGGCAGGGGCGCCTAGATTTTCTGAGCTGCTTAACTTCTACTGTTATTCCTGACCCTAAACTTCTTATCTATAGCCTAGTCAAGAACTCTTTGGGGAGGGGGGCAGGACAGCCTTGTAGCTGAAATGCAAGGTACCAAACACAGGAGGCTTTGAATAGACTTCCATTTCTAAGTACAAGTCCTGGGGGCGCCATCTTACTGGAGAAGGAATTCCAGAGCCCTGATTCACAGCTATCTCACCCGCACTAAGGTATAGGAGCTTCCCTTACTCTGAGTTCTGCCCACAGAGGTGGGGAGGATGATGGCTGCAGCAAAGGGGGCATTATTCCTACCTCCCCAAGAACCTGATGAGGCTAACAACCCTCCAACTAAAATCACCCAGTTCCTGCTCTGCTGCTCCCTGGGCAGAAAAGTTTTTTGCTTCCGTTTTTTGAGCATAACACGAGTACTCTGCATCCAGCTTTACAGATTCCCCATTTTACAGATGGGGAATCTAAGGCTGAGGGAAGGCAAATAATGGACGAGATTCACACAGCCAGTGTGTCTGACCTAGGTCAGAACTCCCTTGTCCAATGATAAGACTGTGTTTCTTTCCAGCCTGCTTCAGGCCTACATGGGAATGGATTCAGAATTTGCTCGGCTTCTAGACCCAAGTGGTTTTAATCTGCAAGTGTGAGGAGGATACACTTCCCAAAGGCATTTGGAAAAAGGGGCTTTTGAAAGATATCCCTCTGCACCCACCATCTCCCTGCCCAGGGTCATTTTCCAAGAACTCCGTGTAGCGGGCTCTATTTTGGACCCCCTTTCTTGCAAGTACAGAGAGCCCTGATACTTGACAAGGAGAGAGAACCCTTATGGGAGATAATTGCACCTTAATTTTTTAAAGGATATCTTTAAAGTTAAATTTAGAGCAGCTCAGCTTTCCATTAAGCAGAAAAAGTTGCCAGGCACCTGCAGGCAGGCATAGAAACACCCCGGGCAGTTGGCTGAACTCAGCCTTCGTCCTGTGGGGTAAGGCGAGCGAAATCTGGGTGGGGCATTATCCCCGCTAGCTCCCCACCATCCCAGCCCTGGTTCAATGTTGGGCACTTGGGGGGCGGGACCCTGGTCAAGTGCAGCCCCCCTGCGGTGAGCGGGAAAGTCCTTCCAGGTACATCCTCACCTGGCAGCTGGGGGTGGCGGGCAATACGGGTGCCCTGTTTCCGCCCCGCCCCGCCCCACCCCACCCCACCTCACGATGCCCAGGGAGCAGTGCCGAGGGCTCGGCTCGGGCGGCCCCACAGCAGCACCGTGCGTCTCGGTCGGCGGGCGGCGGTAGCGCCCCCTCGCAGAGCCCGGCTCTCACTCCCACCCTGGCTTCCTCGCGGTCGGTCTGTCGGTCCCGCCCTCCCCCTTCGCTCCCTCCTCCCTCGTGCTCCTCCCGGGGTGCCTGGCACAGCCTCGGATTCCCTCCTCCCAGCCGTTCGAGTCAGTTTCCCTCTTGGCGGCGGCCGGTAAGGAGGCAGCGGCGGCGGCAGCGGCGGCGGCTCAGGGATCATCTCGCCGGCGGCCACCGAGCTGCTCCCGCTGGAGCGGGCGTCCAGCTTGGCTGCCCCTCGGTCCTTCCCTGCCGCGTCTCCCCTGCTCTCCCGCCCCCCACCCCCGAGCTCGCTTTTCTGCGAAGCGGGCGGGGCGCTTGCAGGGTCCCGCCGCCCTCTGCTCAGATCCCAGAGCAAGCGCTCCCCAGAGCGAGGCGCTCTCCAGGACTCCTGCCCCGCCAACCCTGACCGCCGGGGGGTGCCCCAGGGACGCAGCGCCGCGGAGAGAAGAAGGCAAAGGGGACCATGCGGCGCCTGACTCGCCGCCTGGTGCTACCGATCTTCGGGGTGCTTTGGATCACCGTGCTGCTGTTCTTCTGGGTAACCAAGAGGAAGTTGGAGGTGCCGACGGGACACGAAGTGCAGACCCCCAAGGTATGCGTTTTGGCAGGGCGCGGGGCAGTGGCTTGCGGGAGAGTGCACAGCCCCGGTACCAGGTTTGCGGGCTCCCGGGAAGCCAGGGCGGGGGGTCTTGGTGCTGCCAGCAGGTAATAGGCGTCTGATGCGGCTACTGTATAATGTTTCTGGGTTTAAAAAGCTGTAGGGCATCTCCGGACCCGTGGCGTGCGTAAGTGGCAGTGGGTGTAGGAGGTGGGCGCGCGCGCTCCGGGCGGAGCAGAACTCTCAACTTGAGCAGCGCGTAGGGGTCCCGGGGCGGAGGGGTCGCTGCTGACTGGCCGCCTAGGCACTGGCGGTCCGCGGACGCCGCCGAAGAGTCGCCTGCGGTTGGGAGCGGGTGGCACGGCCGGCCAGTGCAGGCGCCCGCGAGAAGTCTGGCGGCCGTGCTGACCTCCTTCCTGCAGCTGCCAGGCCCGACACCGGGAACCTGGAGGCCGGGTGCGCCGCGCGCATGTACGTCGCGGGCAAGCGCCCAGAAGCCAACCGCGCGGTTGCCGCCCTGGCCCACCCGGCCTGTTGTTACCCCCGCTCTTTGTTTCCGAGCTCCTCTGTTACATGGGAAGTTGAATGGGTCCAGAACACCATTAAAGAGCCTGTAGAAGCAGACGCCTTAGACGCCTTGGTATTGGTGGGGAGTTGAAATGGGAATCCAAGTAGCTTTTCCAACTCCTGCCCAGTCAGTTCATCTGAGTGAGCCAGAAGGTTCCCTCTACAAGCTTACTTTTCAATTCAGAGCCCTGGAGGGACTAAGAGAAAACTTCCCCACTTTCTGAATGTTCCCTGAAATCAAATGACAAAGGAAGACTAGAAGAAGAGGCATGCACATTTGTTTGATCATAACTTTTCTTCACGGGGGAGCCTTTAGAGTTCTCTTCCACAGCTTTGGCGGGGGTTGGGGGTGGGGGGGAGCTCTGCACTGCATCCAGAGCAGTCCTCCAGGGGCTGGGCCAAAGCCCAGGAAGATTAGGAAAAGGTTCAGAATCTCTAAGTAACTTGCCTTAGATCACTGTACTGATTTGAATTGAAACCTCTAGCCTCAGAATCTTTCCACTATGTCAAGTTGCCTTTCAGATTCCTTTTAAAACTAAGTCTTCTAGAACTTAGGTTTTGGAATCTTACCGTTGTTTTCAGCGAGCATTTATTTAGCACCTATTGTGTGCCCAGGCAGTGTGGTTAGTGCTATGGTTACAGAGATGAGGAACTTATTCCCTGGGTCTGGGGATTTGCTGGTCACTAGACTGGGGCCTGCAGTGAGATAGGGCTAGGATGGTTCAGTGCACTTGGCTTGTGGGAGCCTGGGGGCCTCCTGGAGGAGGAGGACATAACAGAACTGAGTTGAGAAGGATGAACAGGTTTGTCATTGGTTAGGGAGGGCATTTGAGGTAGAGATTAACTGTGCAAAACAAGCTCAGGAATGACACAGCACGTTGTGTGAGCATGGCATAATTTGAGCTCAAAGCTGTGAAGGCTGGAGGGGCGATGGCTGGAAGGCCTATAAGGGCAGAGTCAAGTCCCACCTTGTGGGTGTGAGTGTCAAGCACGGAGGAGGTGAGGTCAGACTGGGGACTTGGAATAGCCTTTACAATATGGGATCAATTTTCTCCCTCACCTCAGACCCTGCCCATAGATCTGGAGAGTTTCACTTCTTTTTCCCTCAGCAGTTCTGCTCCCTGTGAAGTAGTTAATGATGCCTGCAGGGACGTGAACTTTCTCTGTTTTGCCTTGAACCTTATTACCATAAGCTTACTTATTCTTAGTTTACACCAGGGATCTGGGACAAGAGATCTGCTTCCTTTTTCACGTGCTGTCTCTCCTCCTTTCCTGCCTCTTTTCATTGTGGTGTGCGCTCACCACATGTTGGTTGCAGGCAGCCGTATGCCAGGCTCTGTGCTAGGGGTGGGAGCTGCTAGGATGTGTACGCCTACACTGTGTCCCTGCCCTTTGACGTTGGGGGCTAACTCTCATAAATTCCTGACCTAGGCAGAATTATAAACTGAGTGTGCTGTGAGGTAGGGGGAATGGTCTAGTGTCAGGAGTCCAGACCCAGAGCCGTGTAGTCACAGACCAGGGCATTTTCTAGTTCTGACTACTTGCTCTTTGTCTTAATCTCTGACTCCTTCCCCCCCTTTTCTATATCCTCCTATAACCATGAATTCTATAGACTTCTATAATCCTGATGCCTTTTTATTATTAAGTGGCTTTTTCTTTTTGTTAGTATATTTTCTCCCTTATTTTTCACTTGTCTGTGTGGCTCTGTGTGTCTATCTGTATGTGTTAGGTGTAGTTGTGTCTGGTGGCTGAATGTCTCTCTGTATCTTAGTGTGTATGTACCTGATAGGAAGAGAGACAAAGAGAGACCCCTTCTTAGATAACACCAGAACGCTTTCATTCTCCATGACTGACTATATGCAGGAAATTTGAATGACATGTCCAAAGAAGTGCAGTGGTATCCACACCTGACTGCATGTCAGAATCACGGGATGAGCTCGTTTAACATGCAGATTCTTGGGCTTATTGAAGAGCTTATGGGTTCTGTGGATTTGGGAGAAGGTCCTAAAATTAGTATTTTTACCAGGGCTCATGTGATTCTGGAGTAGCCTATTGATAGATGGCATTTGGGAGCTAGATGAAGAATACCAAGTCTATTGATTTTTTTGTTGTTTGCTTGGCTCCATGTAACTATGGCCAAATGATTTTATTCTTGAGTTTGCTTTCAGACCTAGCTCGTGTGTTATGTCTTCATGTTAAATAACAGTCAACAGAATTGGTATAATGCTTTACAAATTCACAGACACTTTACGTGTACACATATTAGCTCATTTAATCCTCACAATAATCATGTAAGGGAGATGATACTCTCTTGCAGATGAGATTAAGGAGGTGAAGCATTTAGCCCTAGATAGGAAGGCTGCTCAAGTGGCAGTGTCGGGACAAGAATGGAATGGGATGGCTTTGGGAACTGCCTACCCTTTGCTTCTTCCTGCCATTAAACCCCCCAGACTGCCTAGGTCTGCACTGGTGGGTGATACGGTGAGGCTGGGGTTCCTGTGGCTAATCTTTAGATGCTTGATCTCAGAGAGCTCCAGAGGGTCTGGTGTAATTGTGGAGGCGCTAATGCAAGCACCATTTCCAAGGCAAGTTACACTGTGCCCTTGGAGGGCACCTTCTGGGGCATAGGAGGCGCCTCTTGCTGGACACAGTCCACCCTGGTGGGCAGGTCCCTCTGATGGGTGGGTGCACCCAATGGCTACAGTGCTGCTGCTTGTTGAGTCCCTTGCCAGTGCAGAGATTGTTTCTTCAACAGTAGCATTTCAGATGGGACTTTTGTGGATTATAGGGGAAAAACTCAGTAGTTTCCGAGTGAGTTTGGTATTCTAGGTTTCCTTAGGAAATACATGTGCATAATTATGGGGAAGGCTCTCGCCTTGGATGTGCTGAAGACTTGGAGAAGTTTTCATCTTGCTTGGGCTTCTGTCCAGCATGGTGGTGGGGCTTGTTTTCCAAATCAAGAGCACTGGGCTCCCTTCCCGTAAACATATTCAGAGAAGCTGGGAACGGTATAGAGACGAGAGGGCTGTGTTGAGGTCTCCTGCACGGGGACTACCCAACTCGTAGGTCCAGTGGAGCCAGTTGTTTTCACTGGGGACCAGGATAAGTTCTGGTTCTGGGCTCTCAGGCCTTGTTCTCTTGTCCTGACAGTGTTAGGAAATATCCCCTTTTACCCCAAATATCCCATTCGATGGGATTGGCAAAGCAGGCCTGATAAAATGACACTGATGGCTGGTAGATCACAACCCAGTGACGTGGTGAGTGTGTGCTGTACTCCTGTGTAAGAAAATCAATTGGATTTTTTTCTTAGTTTCAAGAAGGGCTGGTTCTTTCTATTAATAACCCAAATGAAGATTTCTGTAACTTTTACTTTTTAATGTTGATTCGATTCTTTTACTGTCTCCCCAAATTATTCAGCAAAGCTCTAATTTCTAACTGAAAATCATGTAAAAATTTTGATGTGTTCATTCAAATTGTATTTTAATGATAACAGCTGTACTACTAAAAAAGAGCCTGAAAAATATTTTCATTTTTTCTCTCCCCTGTCATTTGTTTGCTATTTGGAGAAGTATACAATAACAGACAGAATTGAAAAAAAAATTCTTATTTCCAAGAAACTAAATTTAGTCCAGGTGCTTAGGGCTTAGTCAAAGCAAAGGAATTTTAGGCCTAAGGGTAATTTTGGAGGAAAGTATTGGAAATGTAAAGGCTTCGAATAAAGTGCCTCGGGCCCACGTAAATGCATTGGTACTGTACTAGAAATACAGCAAATGCTATTAGAAAATAGCTTGTCTTTCTGAACATTTGCATACAACTAGTGCCTTAAGTATTTGACACTTATTTTATTCCCCATTTAGTAGATAATTTCTACCATTTAAAAAATCATGAATTTTAGAGAGAGACCCTATTAATCTACTGATGCTCAGTGCATGCACACTGGACTCTGTCCAGGGAATTTTGACTCTGGCATGACCAGAAGTGTAGCCCCTTGTGAGATGCGTGCTCAGCCTCTTCTTTACTGTGCTGGTTTCCATTCCAAGGCAGTTCCCTGGAGTTGTCAGGGGTGATGTTACGTGGTGGGTCAGAACACGGCTCGTTCCTGCAGTGGCTCTTGTAAGAAGGTAGGAAATATGCAAGTAGCACGTTGGAATCCCTGGGAGTCAAGAAATTGCATATCTTTGCTTTCTAGATGTCAAGAAGCTTTTTGTTTTTTAATTTTTTTGAACCCTGAGCCTCCCCCATCCCATCAGGATGGTAGGAAATTTACCCTATGTCAGTTTTGGCCTGCTGTGCGGGCCTGGGGCTTGTCCAGGGCTGCCTTGTCTCAGCTCCCCTCGGCTTTCCTACTCACTCTCTCCTCCAGGTCCAGGTGGGAGGCCCTGTCCCAGGGGCCCTCGGGAGAGCTCCCTCTCTCCTGAACCCTTGTT